GTCCTGAAATCTATCTGCCCTCCTCACCATTTTATCCTGAAATCTACCTGCCCTCTTCACCACTTGTATCTCTGTTACTGTACTTTCCCCTTGTTTTACGTTTTAGTTGTCATGATCATAGACTGATACCCCAGGTCCCAAAATTTCATTCTTGTGGTTTTATTCTGCTCTGGCTTCTTCCATATCTGGACTAAGTTCTGGGTGGTGTTGTCATGTATGTCAATCTCTGGTTGTTATCTATTCTTGTTGGTTCTAAGTTCAAAGAACTTCTTTTAGTATGCTCTGAAGTGCTTTTATAAATCCCTCCACTTCTGTTTATACTGAAAAAAATTCTGATTTTGCTGTCATATTTGATTGACAGCTTTTCTGGGTATGATTTTTGGTCAGCAGTTTTCTTTCAGAGTTTTGTATATGTCTCCCCATCACTTTTTTTCTGCATGGTTCGTGCTCAGAAATCAGAGCTTAATCCTATTGGTTTTCCTTGGTAGCTACATTTCTTTTTTCCCTAGCTGCTTTCAGGATTCTTTCCTTGTCTCTGATTTTTGGAGAGTTTGATTATGTTATGTCTTTATTTTCTTTGGGGATCTTTTTTGACTAGGGTTCATTCTTGAATGCTTATCTTCTCATCCTTCAGGATGTTAAGGAAATTTTCTTCCAGCTGCTCTTTGACTATCTCTTCTGTGGTTTTCTTTGTTTCCTCCTGTTCTGGAATTCCAGTAATTTGTAGGTTATTACGCTTCAGGTTGTCCCACATAAATCTTAGGCTTTCTTCAGATTTTTTCCATTATTTTTTCTGCTTGTTCTTCTATCTTAGCAGTATTGAGAGATTTATCTTCAAGTTCACTAATTCTGGTTGCCATACCTTCAAGCTTTGCCCTTTTAATATATTGTTCATTTCTGATATTTTAGTATTGGCCATCTGGACCTCTTTTTGAAGATTTTGTATTGTCTCCAATGCTGTATCTATTTTGTTTGATTATTCCTGTAGCAGCAATCTCACTACTTCCTTATTTTCCTTGTCCTTTCTGTGGAACATCTGGATGCACTTCAGTATCATTTTCATGAGTTATTTTCCAGGTAATTCCAAAGCCTCTTTTTCCTCCAAAGCAACTTCTAACTCTTCCTCTTGGTTGTTTCTTTGAGCTACTCTATCTAGTTTCTGCATGTGAAAATTTTCCTGCTGCTTTTTAGGCATTTTGGTGGTGTTGTATTTGTGTCAGTTAGATGAATGTATGCTGATGTATTCTTAAGCACTCTCCAATTGCCTCTTGGTAGGTATGAGCAGCAGATGGGCTTCTCTGTTGCCTGTGCATATAGCTCACATCAGAGAGTTTTAAGCAGGTGTTGGTTGTAGACACTGCTCTAGTATGCATCAGCTAGTATTGGCTCTTGTGCAACTGATGGAGTTTTTAGAGGATGCAATTGCAATTTGCCTGTATGGCTACATTTGCTGTATCTTTTCAGATGAGGCAAAGAGAGAAAAATGTTTCAATATTCAATATTCTTTGGAGGCCCAATGAACAAGAGTAAAAATGAAAGTCACAAAAACCCAGTGTGGGGATACATATATAGATAATAAAACTGGAGTTCTCTATCCCCACCTAATGGAATCTTGTCTTCAAAACCACCTGAGAAATTTGACAATGTTCTTGCAGTACCTCTTAAATTTAATACTAGTTTTTCTTTTTCTCCTTCCCTCAAGCCTTTTCAGCTGTTTCTCCTACTGAGAACCAGCCCCAGGCTGGCCAGACCATTTGGAGGAGACTCAATGCACAGGCTCTTACTGTTGTCTCCTGCCAGCGATCCACACACCACAGAACTTTCTGTGCAGGCCACAGATCCCTCTGCACTGGCCGCAGACCGTATGTGCATGTGCTGCAGAAAACTCTGCATGCCACAGAATCTTCCCTGAGGGTGTCCACTCATATTATTCTCACTCTGGTCAGTAAAGAGGAAGTGAGTGGAATGATAAAAAGAAGGAAAAAGAGACAAAAGACAGAAAAAAAAATACTCACTATTTGCACCTATGTCTCTGCAAATCACTAGCACTTTCTGCAATGGGAGTGGTCTCTTATCTCTCTCTCTGCTCATTCCCATTCAAAATGGTTGTGGCTGGATACACTGGCTGCCCCAAACTGGAAGACACCTCTAGTCTTGCTTCTGTTCCAAATCTTTCTCCCAGTAAGCACTTGATACACTTATTAATCCCTTTATATGAAGTTCAGAGTTCTGGGCCTGTACTCTAAATTTGTTTTGTCTGGTTTTCCTTGTTTTTGCTGAAGAGGGTCTGTACCACCTTTCTTCCTAGTCCACCATCAAGTCCTGTCTCTGTATGATATTCTTGTTGTCATCCCAAATCTCTTCTGGTCTTCGGTCATTAGTGTCTAATTCAACAAAACTGTTCTTGAGATGATCTCTAAATTCAGGTGGAATATGTTTAATATCATATTTTGGTTCTCGTGTACTTGTTTTAATTTTCTTTGACTTTAGCCTGAACTTGCATATGGGCAACTGATTGTCTGTTCCACAGTCTGTCCCCGGCTTTGTTTTGGCTGATGATAAGGAGCTATTCTGCTATTTCTTTCCATGGATATTGTCAATTTGATTTCTGTGTATTCCATCTGGTGAGGTCCATGTGTGTAATTTCAGATTGAAGAAATTGCCAGAATTTTTCAATTTCTTCTTCACTGACTTTAGTAGTCGGTGTGTAAATTTGAATAACAGTTGATTAATTGTTCTTCCTTGTAGGCATATGGATATTATCCTATCACAGACATTGTTGTAACTTCAAGATAGATCATAAAATGTTATTTTTGATGATGAATGCAATGCCATTTCTTTTTCATTTGTCATTACTGGCATAATAAACCATGTGGTTATCAGATTTTAAATTACCATTACCAGTCCATTTTAGCTTATTGATGCCTAAAATATAAATGTTTATGCATTCCATTTCATTTTTTACAACTTCCAATTTTCCTAGATTCATACTTCATAATTCAATGTTCCATATATCAATGGATGTTTACAGCTGTTTCTTCTTTTTGAGTTGTACCCCATCAGAAAATAAAGGTCACAAAAGCATTGCTTCATTCGTGTCATCACAATCAACTCTATTTTGAAGAGGCAGATGTTCTCCAGTCGTATGTTAAGTGCCTTCCAACCTGAGGGGCTCATCTTCCAGCACTGTATTTGACAGTATTCTGGTGCTCTTCATCATGTTTCAGTATTCAATATTCTGGTGTTGACAATGTCCCACTACTATGCATGTAGTTTTCAGAGAATAACTATTTGGAAACAATCCATCTCTCCTTCTTCCTAGTCTGTCTTGGTCTGGAAGCTCATCTGAAACCTGTTAATCATGGATCGCCCTGCTAGTATTCAAAAGACTGGTGGCCCAGTTTCCATGATCACAGCAACACACAAGCCACCACAGTATGGCAAACTGACAGGCAAGTGGTGGAAATTCATGTATATAAATATTTAAAGTGAAACAAACCCACAAAACTGCAAATAGGGAACTACAAATACCACAAATAAGAAGGACAACTACAATGCCAAAAGAGGGAATAATGGTAGCCAGGATGACCCGACTTCATCTTTCATACTTCAGATATATTATCAGGAGGGATTAGTCACTACTAGAGGACATCATGTTGGTAGAGTGGAGGGTTGTAGAAAAAGAGGAAGACCTCCAATGAGATGGCTTGCCACAGTGGTAGCAGCAATGGGTTCAAGAGTAGCAATGACTGTGAGGTTGGTGCAGAACTGGGCAGTGTTTCATTTGTTGTACATACAGTTGCTGTGAATCTGTACTGACTTGGTGGCACTTAACAACAGTGGAGATAAAGAACTTTCAAAACCCGTGAAGTCAAGTAAATTTCAACATAAAACAGACTGCTTTAAACTGTGGAAGAAAAGTAATAAATTAGAGGGTAACCTCAAAGAGATAATACACCTTCACATCAAATTAAAAAAGGAAAATAAGAAAGATTTAACACGCATTAAAATAATACCAATGAAGAAAATGAAAAGAAAATCCACAGCAGGAGTCCAAGACAAGGATCTACCGTCTAAAATTTATAGAACACTTCAAAACCTCAATAAGATGACAAATAATCCAATTGAAAACTGTACAGAAGATATGAACAGACATTTCAACAAAAAAGACATTCAGGCAGCCAACAAACATGAAGAAAAGGTCACGTTCGCTAGCCACTATTATTATTGTTTGGTGCTATTGAGTTGGTTCTGGTTCATACAGGCCCTATGCACTACATACCAGTCAGTCTCTCCTTCTTCCTAGTCTGTTATAGTCTGGTAGCGTTGCTGAAACCTATCATGGGTGACATTGTTGGTATTTAAAATACTGGTGGCATAGCTTCCAACATCACAGTGATACACAAACCACCAAAGTATGACAAACTGAGAGATGAGTAGTGGAATGCAACATTACTATACTTTAAAAGTAATAATAATAATAAAAAGCAAAACATTTTACATCAATCTCATTGGAGATTACAATAACTCAAATGGGTGGATGTGAGATTCTAAGTTTAGTGAAGATCCAAGCTAAAATGGAAAAGAGTCTGAAAATCAATTGTTTAATATACAATGATTGAAACCAAGAAGCAGCTGAAGAGGCAAAATTTGGAAAAAACTAAGAACTTCACTACATATATCTTGAAGAATGATAAAACTTCTCCTTTTTATCTAATCACTTTATAAACAAAGATACAAACCTAAGCAGTCTTTTATTGGTTTATAAATCAGAATACCTACTAATTTGAATTGATCTTGGAGTGGAGGAATACACAGAGTCATTGTACCAAAAGGAAATGGTTAATGTTCAACCATTTCAAGAGGTACCATATGAACAAGAGCCAATGATACTCAGGGAGGAAGTCCGAAGTGCATTGGAAGAATTAGCAAAGAACAAGGCACCAGGGCAGTTGCAGTCCTGTCTTTCGAGTTCCTGGTTCTCTAAAAGTGCCCACCGAATGGCCTCCCAGAACCGCGACCCAGCCGCAGCCAGTGTTGTCGCAGCCCAGAAAGGGGCTGAGCCCAGCGGGTGCGCTGCCCGGGGCTCCGTGGGCAAGAGGTTACAGCAGGAGCTGATGACCCTCATGATGTCTGGTGACAAAGGCATTTCTGCCTTCCCTGAATCAGACAACCTTATCAAGTGGGTTGGGACCATCCATGGAGCAGCTGGCACAGTATACGAAGACCTGAGGTACAAGCTCTCCCTTGAGTTCCCCAGTGGCTACCCTTACAAGGCGCCCACAGTGAAGTTCCTCACACCCTGCTACCACCCTAACATGGACACTTAGGGTAACATCTGTCTAGACATCCTGAAGGACAAGTGGTCTTCCCTCTATGACGTCAGGACCATCCTCCTCTCAATCCAGAGCCTGCTAGAACCCAATATTGATAGCCTTTTGAACACACATGCTGCCAAACTCTGGAAAAACCCCACAGCCTTTAAGAAATACCTTCAGGAAACCTACTCAAAGCAAGTCTCCAGCCAAGAGCCCTGACCCCATCTGTCCAGACCCTCCCTGTATTGTCTACTTTTTCCTTAGATTGTCTGTCTGTCCATTCCTTGATTTCTGTACAGGACTCTTATCTTTAACTGTGCCATCATTTTTGTTTGTTTTTAAATTAACTCTCCTTTTGAGCTCCGATGATGAATATATTAAATAAATACATTT